TAGGACTGTATAGTCCAGGACTTTAAATAAATATACAAGTGTTAATCCCTTAAAGAAAATAAGCAACAAAGCTTAATTTTCCCCTCTCAGATCATCTTAAAACATATAGCATATATGACAGCTTAAGGGTTTTAGTTGGTTGAAATGGGGCAATTTTGTATTTGCTAGACAAGAAGGGTGATCAGGCATGGAGACAGTTATTGAAAACGCTAGCCTAACATATATTTTGTGGCAGTGTGTATTAAAAAAATCTGAATGTTCTATGTAATTTCTGGTGGCCTAAAACTGCAAATCAGCATGCTGCAGCTCTCTCCCACTGCTAAATTTGGACATGCCAACAAACGTGGATGTTACTGGTCCAGCAGGTAGTGAGTATAACAGGAAAGTACAGCTGTACTTAAAGTCTCTTTTGAATGAATGACATATTAAAAAGATTTACTCACATATGCACTGACTCAGTCTCATATTTGAGTGGTCATAACATTGTCTGTGCAATGCTTCTGTTTTTGCATTGATCGTTTGCTTGTTGTTCTAAAATGTGTTTTTTGTATGATAACTTGAAGTTAAAATGTATTAACCCCTTGCTCTTTTATTTCTATTTATATAGGGTTGGTTGCAACATTCCTGATGATACATTTGTTGGAAATCATAATAACACCACATTCAGTTCAACGGGGTTAAAGTGAATGAGACTGTTGTTCCAAACAGACAGCCCAGCAATATCCTTCATGCTAAATGATTCAGCTTTAGGACAGCCTGGTACTATTCACCACAATATCCTTTCTGAAAAAAATCAGTCATGCAATCATGCTTTGCCATGAGAAAATATTAGGCAAACTAAACACTTAAGTTTACTTATTATTTTGATGTTTAGAATTTGATGTGATGTTGAATATTCTGTTTCTGAGAATATAAGATTACACACAAAATGTGAAACTAAATCCAAATGTTGTCAAAATGTGAAACTAAATCCAATTTCCCCCCGCAAAAAAACAATAGCTAATTTATATTGTATACTGTTAGAAGGTAAAAAGCAAAAGTAAGTTGCAAAAGTGAATCTTAACAGAGTGTTCACTACTCCTTTGTCTGGCAAAGAAAATTGCTGCTTCAGTCTGTGGGTGTGTTTATGCAACCCTACACTGCCATTAGTGTTGTGACCTCACATTGCCTGCCATAAAAGAACATCCATATCATGTGTGTTTATATCTAATATAGGCTGAAGAGAAATAAGAGGCCATGTGGATGCCATGACACAAACACTCTGTTGCCAAGTTTGGCATTACACATATAAAGATGAAAAACAAAAATTCACTTTTAGTGATTTGACATTGAATATCAATAAAAACTACAGCTGGTTGTAGTATTTCACTCTTTAGTGCAATACTACAATCCTCTTTTGAAGTTAAATCATGGAAATAAATATGCTTGTATGCATTATTAAACTGGTGGAGGCTATTTAATTAAACTACAAGGAAAAACTCCTGAGTCATCACACTTTTCTAATGATCAAGGAAGACCCTGGGTGTTAACTCAGAATAAAAATCAGGCTGAACAAACTCTGTAACCATTAATTATGTTTAGTTACATTAGTTCATTTAACATTTGATGACTACATTCAACATAAAGTTGTCTAACTAATTTTGCACTGACCCTTCTCGTGGGGCTGCTACTAAATAAACAACTTGTGAAACAAAACTGACTTTGATTTTATGAATACACTCAGAAACAAATCTTTGAAGCATGCTGGTCTGGTTGTAGAGATAAAATAAACTTGCCATCAGTGCTGGTAAGGACAAAGATCTCAGACTGGTTCTGTTTCTTGCCACCAACGGTCTTAGGGAACCAGTGTAGATCAATGGGGTAAATGTCATCTGGCAATTTGACAACTAGATTGGTCTCACTGGTCAGCAGGGTCCACTTAAGTATCTGATGGTCCTCACTGCATGAGTACAGCTCATCTGCTGAGGTCCAGCCAACACAACTCACAAGTTCCTTATGTGATCTGCTGTTAAGGAAAGTGTTAGAAAGGTAGGCATATGTATTTGTAATTGGTCATTCGAAATCCCATGGTTGCTTTTGCAATAAGTAGGGACTTTTGAAAATAGAATAAACAAGTTCTAGATTTAGCAGAAGTTAGGTGCTAGGTCGACCCCAACAATACAAGGCTTAAATGACTACACTTGTAAATATAATAATACTTACTGTGGGATATATATAAACGAATTGTGATTCTGATAACACGTATAGTGGTAACACTTTCAACGTGTTGACGTTGAGTTATTTGAACTGTACAGAAACGCAATGTAAGGTTGGTAAACGACATCGTAAAAAGGATATGTTTGGGTTCCTGTAGCAACGATGTTTTCAATCTCATGGTGGATGTTTGCTCTGTTGATCCCTAAACGAACAAGACATTGTCAGTTAGTGAACGCCCTCTCGTATAAAACCTCTTTATAACACAACAATGTCAAAAACAGAAAGAAACAACATAAACATTCAATCCAAAACATTGAACCGTACCCTTAATATATGGCGACTTAGCTGTTAGCATGCTCTGGTAGCTCTCTGTAACGGTGGATGAAACAAGCGTCTGCAGTTGCTACGGTCCCTGCCACCGTTGCTAACGTGAATCCTCAGATGTCCCAGAGCCTTGCCTGCTACTTGAATGCTAAAGTTAACTTGATTTTCTGCTTATAACGGACATCCTTCTGTCGTTACCGACTTTAGTTATGGGACAGCCAGCAATGTATGCGTATCACTTGGTCCAGCAAATATGCATGAACAGTTAATAAAGTATACAGAAAGCCTATCCATCACTTATTAGCAATTCCTCGCTCAAGCTATCCATGCTAACTGCTGGTAGCCATGTAAAATGGGTCATGAGCGTCATAAGCAGCTAGTTGAAACGCAAGTTATCGCGAGAGTTGTGTCATCGAAAACAGATATTTCGAATGATTTACCAGTATAAATGGCACATTTTAAATGAATGTTCGTAATGGCACTCAATAAAATGAAATAAAAATAACACAACTCGTCCATCGATCGAATAATACTTCCTCGAATGTAAAACTGTTCCTCTGGGCGGGACTTTGTTCTATTGTAACCAGGCAACCGTTTGGACACGTAGAAACTTTACGCTTTGAATATATGATAATAATCTTACTCAATATACCATTGTGAAAAGCAAATAGTTACTTTCTGCGTTTTCCAGTTTTGTAATTTGTTTCGTCTTGTTATTGTTTGTTTGGAGCGAGGCGGAGTTGGCTTCGTCCCCTTTTTTGAATTTCGTGTTTTTTTTCCCCCTGCCCTTTGAACGTTCCATGGTGCCTTGCGTCAGTTTGTAACGAATCTGGTTCGACAGCACAGTTTAGGCGCCATTTACAAGTTAGAGTTTTCAAGTAGGAGAGCGACTCGGAATGACACGGGCTATATTTTGTGGATTATATTAGCCGATTTTGGATGAACGAATACTTTTTCCGATTACGTGATTTGGGTCAGAAAGGAAGACTATTGACAGACCGTGCTTTTATCGTGGAAGGTATATTGAAACACTTTAGCTGAGAGTAAGTGAATGACTGGGTTCCGTCTATTTGCTGAAACGCATAACTAGCTCCCAACCTTAGTTAACATTAACAACACGATACGTTTCAACATTAGCTCAGATTAAAAACGTAATGACTAACAATACTGCGGTATGTAACGCGAAGTGGTCTCTTTTTTGCCTTTTATTACATTTAACGCAAGACGTGCCTTGTTGTAGTCACACACGCCCCTGGCTGAAACATAACTTTTCTAAGCTAACGTTAATGTTGCTATGCTAAACGTTAAACTGCAGAAATACTTTTGGCTGCTTAAAGTCAACCACTTTAGCGTTTGGCAATGTTATTTATGCGAATACCATATCAATTCGCCCCTTTCAATTGCGATACGGTTCACATTGAGTACAGTATACTTTACAGTGTTTCGGTAACGTTACACATCCAAGACGAAGATACGTTTGATAGTCAAAGTTTGCTATTTCATTAGCATGCTGCATTGTTTCACATCTGATAGTTAGCTACAGCTGCTAACGTTACGTTAACATTAGCCAAATCAGCGCATTAACGTGGCAAAGTTAACAATAAATACGTTTATCCTGTGGCCGAGCAAGCGTTACTAAAGTACTTATCTGCATAGGTACATGTAGTTATAACGTCAACGTAACAGTTACGTTATATTGACGTTACATTCGTTCTTTGAATGAGTTAGCGAGTTAGGTTGGTCCGTGTGCACCTCCGCCCCCAACATAACAGTGGGGGGGATTACATTTGATATTGGTGTCAGTTTAAGCTCTTCGTTTAATTTAGGACGTTGCGTCTTAACCACCGGGTAGTGAGCCAGTTTAGCTAAAGTAATAACCATACAACATAGAAAAGGTTGTGCACTTTGGGAAGAAAATGTAGCTATTTGCATATTAACAGGGTTTTCCTGTTAGCGTTACGTTAACAATATTTTCCGTTTTTCCCATCATTGCAAGGGTCATTATTCGTTCAACTTTGTGACGCAGAAATGAAAAACCTACATTTGATGCAGAGGGGTACTGAAACGAATCTGTCAAAGCATAGGAAGTTATTCATTTGTAATGTTTGCTGTTAGAATATCATCTAATTTGTTACAATCATCAGGCAGTTGTCAGCCTGATCTCTTTACTGATATTATCAGGGTGATATCCTTTTTTTAATCACACGGTCAGGTTATACACATGATTATTCATGTTGTTACTGTATGTTTTGATGTAAGTAAAAGAGGGAGCGAGAAAAAAAATCAAGCTATGGTCCAATTAAAAATATATACCGACTAACAGTTGGATAGGGAGGCAGGGGGATCTGACTGTGGAAATGATTAAAGCCTGGTAGCTGCGTGTGACCGACTAAAAGTGGAGTTGGGAGATTGACAGGCACAAAAACCACTCATGGATAATCCTTCTTTTTTTTACCAATGACCCCTTTAGATTTAAAATCATGCCATCTAAAACGGCAAAGAGCTCAACTGCCTCCTCCAAGTCAAAAGGGAAAGGGTCGCAGCCCCGGGATGACTCCGAAGACGAGCTGGATGTACCCCCTCCACAGACCAAGTCCAATGGCCAAGAGGAGGCACCGCCGACAACTGGCAAGTAACAAAGGCTGTTTTGGTGTCTGTGAATCTAAATAAGTTGTGTTCACTCAATGGCGTTGCGTGTACTGCCGTTCTGTTAGTGGCCAATTGCCACAGCTGTGAAGCATTTTTTCTTACTTAAATCTCAACACGTAGTTATAATGGCTGATCATTTTTTAAATAAAGTGTCAGTCATCAATACTTGTCTTATGATTTTTGAGATGATTTTAATATCGTCGAGTTTACTTCTTCCCCGGATCTTCTCAACAAACGAGGTAAATTATATCGGGTTATGGAGGGTTTTATGTTGTAGATCAAAAGTATGTTTTACGTTTTTCTTATAACTTATAACTTGCAATTTGTAAAATAAATGGTATGACAAGATTTAGATACATAACGGCATTAAGTGATGTGTGTATTCTTTGGAATACGTTGAAATTGTTCACTGTGTGTCTGACTGCATGCATTTAATTTAAAAACATCGACCCCTCAGCTTGTTTATGCTTATGTGAGCACAATAGATTTTGGACAGGTCGTTGTGGCTTGGTGTGATGGCAACGTAATCGGTTTAACGTTATACATTATTATAAATAAATAAAACGATTGCCTCCCTGCGTTTGGCGTGCAGTTCAGCATGAGTGAATGTGTAACGTTGATGATAGAAATGTGGAATTGACTTATTTATTATCGACGAAATGAATGTGGCGCATCTACGTTCTCGTATGAACGCTTCTCTTGAAGAGCGTTTGTATTTTAAAGTGGGTTTGTTCATAAGCGGCCATGGTCTTTTTTCTTTTATGGCTTGGCTCTTGTTTTCAGAACAAAGAAAAAATAACGCCTGTCAACTTTCTCGGAGTGTCTGTTTGACTGCGGTTGTAACTTGCTGCCTGTGTTTTGTTTGTTTGTTTTTTTGGCTCCTCCACCCCTCCCCCACGCGCCACTGTCCCCCACCTGAAACGACACGCACAGGGGAATAAAAATTGTACTTTTTCTGTGCCACAGATGCGTCTCAGGGGGAAGCTGCCGAGGCGGCTGATAATCGGAGTTTGGAGGAGATTCTCGGCAGCATCCCTCCACCCCCGCCCCCAGCGATGACCAATGAACCGGGCGCTCCACGCCTGATGATAACGCATTTAGTTAATCGCAACTTTAAATCTTACTCAGGAGAGCAGATTCTGGGGCCTTTTCACAAGGTATGACCAAACATGGTTACAAATGTCATCCCATTGTGGGAAATACTTTGTTAATGTGTTGTTTTAAGCTCCCAGATTTACCATCATTCTAGTGTTTCTCAATTTTATTTAAATTGTCATATTGCACAACTATACTGCCTGTGTACATGTTGTCTGGAAATACATACAAAATAAATAAATAATTGTTTATACTACATTATAACATTTAATTGAGTTAAAAAAAAAAATAGGTAGGAAAAGTCACATTCCTCCATTTTGATTTAGTGAGTGTATCGTGCAAGGGGTAGTGATGTGCTGACATATCCCATAAATTATATATGTTGTTAAACTTTGTCTTTTGACCATTTTCTGATCCCCCTGTGCGCTGCGAAAATAAGTGTATTAAAGTAAATCTTCACTACACCCTTTTGAAAAACATTCACTATCACAAACTAACTATGTTTAAATTGTAACGTATAGCCTGTATGACATTTACAGTATTTACTTGTGGCTGCAGTATATTTTTATATAATTGATTTACCTGTTTTTTTCTCTCCCCCACCTTTCTCTCAGCGCTTTTCCTGCATCATTGGTCCAAATGGGAGTGGGAAGTCCAATGTGATAGATTCAATGCTCTTTGTGTTTGGATACAGAGCTCAAAAAATCAGATCAAAAAAGCTCTCGGTGCTGATTCACAGCTCTGATCAACATAAGGATGTGCAAAGCTGTACTGTGGAAGTCCATTTTCAAAAGATAATTGATAAGGTATATATCTGTCACACAGATGTAAATTACACTCACTCTGTATCAATTTAGGAGAGAACACAATTCATTTGGCCTGGGGGGGGTGAAAATTCATATTTCCTTGTAGTTAGATGTTGTTTTTTTGTATTATATTTTGTTACTCCTTGATCATGATATAATATTGCCACACAATGATCAGACCCCTGATTAAACCGAGACTCAAAGCAGTCATGAAAGTTCCAACTGCCACCTACACATGTCATAGTCAATTCACAAAGGGGCTAGGATTGAGTCCTCTATCTTTGAAAACTTTTTAAACGTTCAATACAGTAGCTAAGCTGTATTTATTTGATGGTACTGTGAATTTCAATAACATGGGTGTTAGTTATGACCATTTATTATTAGCATTGGATCACACATTAGTTAACCTTGTCAACATTCCTGACAAAGGTGTAATGAATTCAAAGTTAAAAAAAAATCTAAATTTGATCTGCCACAGGGAGTGTTAGTTTTGTCTTGACCCCTGTAACATTTCTGATTTTTCTCATTTTCTAAGCCTTTCTTTATGGTTAAGCAGTTCCGATTAAATTAAAAATCAAATTACTAAACTGATGCTAGATTTCTATACATTCTGCTGACTTTACAATCTGCTCTTTTTTTTAATTAAAATTATTGTTAGATGTGATGTAGACAATTTAGATTATTTGACCTGTTCTTTAAATTATTACTTTTTTAGCCAAATAATCGATGTGTTTGCAATGCGTTTATAATCTCATTGTATCTGACACATTTTGAAAATGTGGTACATGTGGTACACTGGATATAATACACTACACTGATGTGGTTTAACCTGTAATTGTATCTGCCCTAGATCTGTTTTGTGCTTTTTAAACAAGCCTTTTTGTTGATTGTTTTTAATATTGAGTGTTTTTGTCTCACCACTCTCAGTGGATTTGCCAGTATTAGGGGCATGATCATTTTATGAGTAGAGCTGTTAGAGTTTCTCCTCAAACTGTTCTGCACTAAGCTGCTCTCTGTCTTTTGCTCCCCCCCCTCTGAGCCAGGAAGGAGATGACTACGAAGTCATCCCCAACAGCAAGTTCTATGTTCCAGGACGGCCAACAAAGACAACTCCTCAGCCTATCATATCGGTGACAAAAAAACCACATTCAAAGAAGTGGGGGTTTTACTCCGAAGCCATGGCATTGACCTCGACCACAACAGATTTCTGATCTTACAGGTAATTGTGCTTTTATTTTTATTTGTCTTTAACTCTGCTTTTTTATTCTTGCTCTGACCATCCCATTCTGTCAGAGATGTTCTGCTCTTCCTTCTTTGCCCATTTCACAGTCCTCTGTGGGTCAAATGTTTCATGGTGACCTTACAGCCATGCCTGTCTGCGGGGATAACCTGTTGCCCTGGAATTGGAAAGGAGAGGATGTGCTCTCTAAGAGTCCTTAGACTGCTATAGCAGCGCATCATGGTTTGAAACAGTGTGGAAAAGGTGCGAACCATTATTTGCTGCTTTAGAATTTTAAGGAATAAATTCAATTGTACCCATATATGGACCGGTTTGTGAGTGGCTGTATTTGAAAATGAACTCTGGTTTTGTAGTGGGGGAGCCTTTTTATGGGTTTTGCGTTCCAGTGGGTACAGGTTGGACGACCTCCTTCCCCCCCCCCCCCCCCCCCCCCTTCCCATGTACCTGCCACGCTTTAGCAGCACGTAAATATTGGCGTGTGAGACCCCAACCCCAATATTGGCAGTGCTGCTTCAGTGTGGCTGGATCAAACACCCTCCATTACCAAGACTTTTATTGGTTCAACATTTTGTTTATTTTTTACCTCCATGGCAAATGTACTGCATTCCTGTTTATTTTGTATTATTTGTGTTTTTAGATGATTTTGAACATTTGATTTAGCATTGTGTTGCTGAGTTTGTACCAGTTCTCTTGTTGCATCCCTTTCCCTCCTGATTGTATTACATGTGTAACCTACCCATTATTACTGATTAACCCATGGCTTATGGGGTGATGCAATAGGTCGGAACAAAACAAAAAGGCTGATCTAATCTTGGTTGTCCCATTTCTTACATTTTATTTTATTATTTTTGCTGTGTGCGTTGTAGTTTAATGTGAACACTTGGTGTCTACTATCCTCTTGTTTATGGTTAGGTTGATTACATGTGTTCTGCTTGACTTTGTTCTATGTAGATTTGTGTTTGTGTGTGTGCATGTCTACTCTCCCTGTTAGATGTTCAGCTCTCTGTCCATGACATGATTGCATGAGTATTGGAAGAGGCTTTAGCTTTTCTCCAAAGTCACTTTTCCAGGCCTCTGGCTAAGAGGAAGCTGTCTGTTCACTGGTGAGAGCAGAGGTTGACGTGGGAACTCCCCTACCTCTGCTGGCTTCTCTTTTCTTTCATACATAAGTTGTACCCGAGCTGCTTTTTTTCTATACCTATAAAGGATATATCATTTTGGAATAAGATGTTTCTATATTTGCAGTTAACATCAAATATTTAACGTAGATATAGTTTTATTCAAAGCCATCATGCTTAAAAATAACATGTTCAGACCAGTATGATTACTCCTTAGAGCTTTGCCTAACTCGGTGACAACTAGAATACACTGTGGGAAATTAACCCACGGTGCAGATAAAAGAAGTCCGCAATCCTAAAAAGGTGGGGAAAAAGAAAAGTGTGTAATGAGCCATAATTATTGGTGGGGTTGGGATAATGTGTAAATAAGCATTTTCATGGTATACTTGTTTTATCTAATTGAACCATATCTATTATTTTTAACATTTTTTTTTAATTATTTTAATTTGATGTCCTCTTTTTATTTAGCTCAGTGTAATATTTGTGTTTTTTGCGGAGAGCCATCGTGTTCTCAAACTGTACATGACTGTGTATCTGCCATTGTGTGTGTGTAGCAGATATAAAAAAAAATTGAAGTATAGAGGTCTAAATTCAATTGACCACTTCTTAATAGTCTAATACAATATTATTTAATTATAAGAGTGTTTTATTAGAACTCTTGGCTCCATGTTGAAATGAAAGTATATTTTTCCTTGTGATCTGGACTGTATTTAGGGTGAGGTGGAGCAGATAGCCATGATGAAGCCCAAAGGTCAGACGCAGCATGACGAGGGCATGCTGGAGTACCTGGAGGACATCATCGGGTCCTGCCGCCTCAAGCAGCCCATCCTGACCCTGGCCCACGGCATCGAGCTGCTCAATGAGCAGAGGGGAGAGAAGGTGACACTCACACACCATCTGCTCACACACTCATGAGATAACAAACTTGACTTCCTGTGTCTGGACTTCATATGCTGTGCCTTTTATACAGTAGAGGTTTAAATGTGCATAGTTTGTAAGCTTTTTATGCAAATATCAGGGATGAAAATAAATGTTTTTTAATAGTTGTGTACTGTGAAATGTAAGATAACTTGGTCTTTGGTTTGGCAGACTGCCCAAGACATGATTCATCATGTTTCACAAAAGACACACACACTTGAACACACATACATTGATGAAAGTTGTGCTATATTAGTATTTCAACATATGTATTTTCATTTTGTCCAAGTCAGACGATACTCGAGTGATTAGAAACAAATGAATGCTATTGTAGCTCTTATCAAAATATTTATGTGGGATCAGAATGATGGAGATGCTATAAAACATTAATTCTGTATGTTTTAATTAGTCTAATGCATATTATTTTCTGTCTATAAATGTTATTACAGTTTTGTCACATGATATTAAGTACAGCAATATGTTTACTGTCCTAGCTTAACCGAGTGAAGCTGGTGGAAAAGGAGAAGAATGCGTTGGAGGGAGAAAAGAACAAAGCTGTGGAGTTCCTCACCCTGGAGAACGACATCTTCAAACACAAGAGTCGGCTCTGCCAGTATTATGTGTGAGTGCACCAGCAACATGTCCCTGTTTTCTCCAAGACTAATTCAAAAAGAAAACATCCTCATTACATTTCAATGTTACCCTAGCATAGGAATGGCATTGTTATCCTCTCATTCTGAGCCTCACAGGGGCAACACGACCCTTCTCTGGGGTCAGATGCCGGTTTCTTTGGTTTATGTGTAAACTACTACGTTTTACTCACCTTTTCTCCGGATCTCTCTTTGCCATCAGCAATGATCTGCAGAAGCGTGTTTTGGATAAAGATCAGGAGAAGCAGAAGATCATGGAGGACACCAAGGAACTCACTGAGAAGAATGCAAAGATATCAGAGGAAATGGAGAAAATGAACCAGGAGCTCAAAAATGTAGAAAAGTAAGAAATGTTTGTGCTTCCCCTCTAACCAATGTAACATGCTTCAAAGGTTACAATCTGTTGGACTCATCCAATCATTTGGTGGTGGTCGTCAGTTTCTCTCTTTCCCTGTCCAGTTTGGATTCAGGAAAGCTGTTGCGTATGTGTCCTAAATTGTTTTGTTCTGTTAGGAGTTGGCCCTATTCATATTATTTATCATCATTCTTATTGTTTTATAATGGAAACATTTCTGCATTCATATTATTTTAATTGTAGTATTTCAAGACATTTTCTCCATGATTGACTAAAGTGAAATTGCTGTTTCTCCACCAGGAAACAAAATAAGCTGAACAAGTACATAGAGAATCGGAAGGAGAAGTTCACCCAGCTGGACCTGCAGGACGTTGAAGTGCGTGAGAAAATCAAACACTCCAAGAGCAAGAGCAAGAAACTGCAGAAGCAGCTGGAAAAGGACAAAGAAAAGGTATGTTGCTCTTTAGAAGGTGCTCCACTACAGGCTGTTAAAGGACTTCATTCCACTTGGTATCACCGTGTGCTACTCTGCAATAGTGATTACTCCACTTTCTCACAGGTTTCCCACTGTCGCATGATATGTCAGGAGAGCATAATTGTTGCCATTTCCTCCTAATTTACAATGCATAACCATAAACAAACACATGGTTGTACTAAATCAAGGCAAGCTAGAACCAGCGGGATGACACTCCAGTGTTGCTCTGTTTATTCTGTACCGCGGCCAAGAAAGAAACATGGGCACTAAAAATACAATTTCCCGTTTCTTATAAAAAAAACAAGGGGATGTTGTTTTGAAGCCTGGAGAGAAATACATTCATTTCAGTCCTTACAGGAACCTTCATGTATTGCAGCATTTAACAACATTGTAACTTGTTCTTCTGAGTCTAACTCACTGGAGCAAACATTAACAAGTAGGTTAGGAAGGTTTTTATTTTTCACATTTTCCCCCTCTCTAATTTCAGAGGCTCGTGTTTAACTGCACAGACAGAACAGCGTGCTGTTTATTTTTGTATTGTTCATTATTTGTTGTCTGTATTTCAGTATTTTAAGAGATATTAGCCATAATTAATGTGGGATCTAAAGTGATTCATTTCTTAAATGTAAAGAATTTAATGTTTCTGGATCATTGTGAAAATGAAGCCTTGTTTAAGTTTCAAAGATAATGTTAATTTGTGTAACAATGTATCAGGCTGTGTAGTGTTTTAATCAAAGTGCCTGGCTAATGGGAGAGTGACAGTTTCCAGAGAAAGAACTGACGTCATTCTGCCTGAAAGCTACACAAAGCAAGGGTTAAATACATTCACAGATATTTCTCTTTACCTATGTAACAAAACAAATATGTTTTCTCAGTTGCAAAATTGTGTCCAGGCCTTGCTTTATTTTTTCCTCTCCTTGGACAAAGGGAAACCCCCTGGATTTCTTCTAGATTATTTGTCATTATGCATTAAATAAACTCTTCAATAAATTGTAAATCCAATGTAATGGCAGGAAGGACAATGTGCCGTAAAGTAGCCACTAGAGGGCTTGAAGTTTGATAGCCAACTCGTGCTCTGTTTCACTTTTAATGGTGGACTAATGTTTCTCTTGCACACTTACTGAGCCTTTTCTAGAGAATTCTGTTGTAAATGTAGGTCTAGCTTCCCATCTCCTTCTCTGCTCTTTCTCTGCTCCACCTACATGGCCGTGCTCTGGAAACATGTTGGGCAGAGGCAGGCCGGGCTCCGGGGAGCAGTGTTCTGCTGTGTGGTACTCAACTATGGCCAGGCTTGTGTAACACTCCCAGCCGCCACACTCACATTTCACCCGCAGTTAACCCTACAAAACACACACAGCACTCCGCCTTGCCTGGTTTCAGCTCTGCCACGCGGCTTACTGTTGTGCCGGTCCCAACCAGGGCCTGCTCAGTAGGGCTGTGCATCTTCACTGGTCTCACTATTCGATTCGATTACGATTATCCTGTCAACGATTCGATTCAATTCGATATCCCGATGCATCACGATTCATACCAATGCGTTGCATCCTCAATTTTCTATATTACTGCACATGGCTTATTTTTCATCAATGCATACATGCAGTAAATACATATGAACTCTCTTTTTATTATTTAGAAAGTGCTTCAGAAATCAATAACATAAATGTCTTGACATTAATTTATAAACCAAAATAAATTAATTGTATATGTCTAGCCTCCCTATATCTGTGTGTGAAGTTGTTCCATCCTCAAAAACAAAAAACTAATGCTTCTGCAGTCTAGCTGCAGCTTCTAGCAACGGTCTTCTGTTAAAAAAAGGACACTGAATATCCTGAATGTGGCATCACACACAGGACTTGAGTCTGAACACAGCAGACAACAGGAGTATTTACAATAGCATATACAAACAAAAATACTGCATGTGGGTGCACACTTACATTCTCTGTCTTACTGTTACATACATCCCATGAATGTATGAGATTAAGTTAGCTTCATTATATCTCAATCAGTGATTAAGTGAATAATAAAGTTTCTATCGGGTCACTATCAGCCTGTCACTCATTATTTTCAGGGAGGGGGCGGGGTTTGGAGGAACGGAGAGGAGACGGTGATCGCGGAAGCTTTTTTCCTCCTGCCTTCACAAACTTTACACACGTGTATATAATAATAATATCGTCTGAAAATTGCTAGAGGACATTCATACTCTGCAATCTAAGACTTAATTAAATCCACCAAAAACCTGACATGATTGTAACGCGATTCTTTTTGAAAAACATAAATCCTTGTGTCTCTGAGCCGCAGCGACACGGAGTGATTCAGAGCGGGTCCTTCTGCTGTTGGTTCTGGACTGGTGTTCTTGTGTTGGTGGATAAAGCAGACTGCTCCGTGTTTGGTGCCGCTGTCACGTCTGTTCCCTGATCTCTGCGTCACCGACCGATTTGATATTAAAGTGACAGAAAAAAAAAAACATAGTAAAGCCGCGGCCGGAAAATCAGGAAGCAACGTTACTACGCTATAATCGGTTATCTTCCGTCACTGCATCGAGACCGAATCGTCCGCATCGCAATGCATCGTAGAAACGATTATTTTCATACCTCTACTGCTCAGTCCGGAGTGTGTGTTTATAGTTGATTACAGTTGGCCTGCTTCTGAATGTGTAGCTCTCACAGATAGCGTATTCAATCAATTCACTTTATAACTCTTGTCTTCCCTGATCCCTTAATCTCGTCATCTAATTTCAGACTTAAAGGGCTATCCCTCTGTGGTCGCTCCAAGTGTGTTTTGATGAGTTATGTCCTCAGGTTGAACTCAGACAGGTGTTGTAGCCTCTGTTGCTTAGACTCCAGAGTCTGACACATCTCATCTGTTTGTGTCTGCAGCTGGAGGAAGTGCGCGGGGTGCCTGCCAGCAGTGAAAAGGCCATCTCTGAGGCAACCGCTCGCAAGGAGGAGATGGAAAAGCAGAAAGTGAAAGAAGAGAAAAAACTTGAGGAGGTGATGGAGAGTCTGAAGGAAGAGACCAGCGGCTTGCAACAGGACAAAGAGGTGTGTGTATTAATCATGGTGTTAGTTTGTTGCATGCTTCGTTTCACTCTAGATAGTAAACTCTGCGCTATAACTGTAAAAACGTATTTGTCTTCAAACCTTAAATCTGCTCTTCCTGTGTTCTCCAGACCAAAGAGAAGGAGCTGATGGAGCTCAGCAAGGCTGTGAATGAGACCCGGTCTCGTATGGACCTGGCTCAGTCGGAGCTCGCCATCTACCTGAGCCGCCACAACACGGCGCTGACTCAGCTCAACACGGCCAAGCAGACGCTGCAGACGACCTCTGACACGCTGCGGGAGCGCCGCGCCGCCATCAAGGACCTGGAAGTGAAAATCCCTCAGAAAGAACAGGAGCTCAAGAAGGTAAAACCAACATAGTTATTATAGTTAGGCAGCATTATATGGGCCGGTTCGCATCTAGGCCAGTCTAGGCTTACTATTTCTATTGACTACTGCTGCCACACGTATGGCGCCATTTGTTTAAGCTTTTGTTTAATTGCTTCTTTCTTTTTTTCTCTACAGGACGGGGAAGCGCTGGAGCAGCTGATGAAGACGGATAATGAGACCAGGGAAGTGGTGAGGGAAATGAGGCAGAAGGTGGACGAAGCCAAGAGCTCTCTGACCTCCAACCGCAGCCGAGGAAGAGTCCTGGACGCCCTCATGCAGCAGAAGAAGAGTGGCAAAATCCCTGGCATCTTCGGAAGATTGGTAAAAATAAAAAAAAGTTTGGTTTCTAGTTATTGTGAGCTCAAAACATTTGAATGAAATGTAAGCATTGGATGTTGTCTCATCATTTATTTGTGTGCTTGCAGGGAGACCTGGGAGCCATAGAGGAGAAGTACGATGTGGCCATTTCCTCTAGTTGTGGCGCCCTGGACAACATCGTGGTGGATACCATCGATACCGCCCAGAAATGTGTGATGTTCCTTAAAGAGCAGAACATCGGCTTTGCAACCTTCATTGGTCTGGACAAGGTAAAGATCAATACATTTTGACTTGATTAGCCGATCAAGACAGTAGTTCGGGGTTTCTGATTAAACATAACATCTCCTCATACCTCCTCATTTCCTCCCCCAGATGAAGGTGTGGGAGAGAAACATGGCTCCCATCCGCACTCCAGAGGAAACCCCTCGTCTCTTCGACATGGTGCGTGTGAAGGAGGAGAGTGTGCGGACAGCTTTCTACTTCGCCCTGAGGGACACCCTGGTGGCCCAGGACATGGAGCAGGCCACCAGGATGGCCTTCCAGAAGGACAAGCGTTGGAGGGTGGTCACCCTGAAGGGACAGATCATCGAGATGGCTGGTGGGTGCCCCCCCCACTTCTCCTGTCACAACTTTGTTTTGGTTAATCATTCTCTAGCTAGTTCTTAGTGAAGATTATACTTTCTTCTGTTATTTATTTGTCTAAATCTCCCTGTGGGGTATGTGCTTCACAGGAACCATGACTGGAGGAGGAAGAGCGATGAAGGGCAGGATGGGCTCCTCTCTCGGTACCGAGGTCTCTCAGGAGGAGGTGAGAGTGCATCCTACTTCCTGAGTGGACCAAATTCAAAGTGATGCATGTTAGCTGCTACTTTCACTTTTTCAAGACGGGAGAAGATTAAAAAAAAAAGTTTTGGATTGAATTATAATAACAAGAAACCGTTTTGTCACAATTATGTACATTCGAACTTGTTGATAGTGACGTCTGATACATTGAAGTCTACATTTAACCTACAGAGCCTTCTGTGCAAATGCTTTACTTAATATACTTTTTGTACCAAGGCATGCTCACATTTAATTCTCTCTTATTCTGCTACATAAGATGCAATACAACAACTCAAAAAGCAGATTAGATGTAATCAAATCTAGTTCAATGCAAGTAAAACATGAACATCATTTACATGAACTGATAATACAAGTGACACTTTTGCTGGAATGAAGTTGAATCTATTGGTGCGGTCAGTCTTCCTGACATGTGACTCTAACCCAGAGCTGCGGAGGCAAAGTTGAAGATATGAAGTTCCCAGAATCCCAGAGCTGGGATATGACTCCCTTTATTCTCACAACTCCAAGTGGGTGAAGCAAGTTTGATAAATAACTCCTGATTGAAGTTTTACTTTAAGAATGTTTCCTGGAAGTAGTTCCTAGATGCTGGATGAAAATTGAACTTGTCGTCTTAATGAAGATTTTCTTTCTTCTTCTTTGTGTGCAGCTTGACCGTATGGAGAGCCAGCTGACGGAGAAAGTGTCAAAGCTGCAGAACTGCCAGGAGAAAAGGCTGCAGCTGGAGGAGAGCGTGCAGCGGCTGAGGACTCTGCTCCGAGACATGAAGAACACTCTGGAGAAATACTCCAACAGCATGACCGTACGCACACACACATCTTTCTTTTCATTCACTGGCAATGTCTCTCAATTTGATGTTGTATTTTTAAAATAAGCCCTACTATTAATAGCCCAAAATGAAATTGTTAAAGTATATGTGACCCGCTCTATCGAAATCAGTCGGAAGTCGCAACGGCTCATTTCAAAATAAACGTGGATTTGCGTAAGAAATTAGTTTTTCGGGCTTCGGGAGAAAGCTATGAATCTCCTCTTTCCAACAGTGTATACAACTCAAAATGTGTCTTCGGGTCAATGCGACTGATTTCGATAGAGCAAGTCACATATTTGCTTTTTGCTCTTAGCACGACAGTGTCCCTGACATGCATATGTCCTTCTCTCCTTCCTTCAGAGTCTGGCTGATCAGGAAACTCACCTGAAGCTTCAGATGAAGGAGCTGGAGGCCAACGTGCTGGCTGCTGCCCCCGACAAGGCCAGACAGAAACAGCTGGAGAAGAGCCTGGCCGCCTTCAAGAAAGGTGGAGCTCTTCTCTAAACTGTAGAGAGACATATTATTATCAACCTACTGATTATTTCCTGCTAGTCTGAGTTGCAATTTGTGGAAAAGCTGTCCCTCTACATAATGAAATGGTGACAAAAGGTTCATATTGAGTTGTGGTTTTTAGTTCTAATATCTAAATGCCAGTCATATTTATGAAAATGGTATTAATGTTTATTCCTCTGTGTATTGTGATCAGACCTTGCATATTGAAATAATACCCTCCTCTCTGTTCTGCCCCTCTTTCTCTCCTTCAGACTTTGACGCAGCGTCCAGTAAGGCTGGGAAGGTGGAGACGGAGGTGAAGCGGCTCCACACCCTCATCGTAGACATCAACAGCCACAAGCTGAAGGCGCAGCAGGACAAGCTGGACAAGATCAACAAGGAGTTAGACGACTGCTCCTCCATCATCACCAAGGCTAAGGTGGCCATAAAGACCGCCGACCGGTGAGGACATCATGGCTTTAGGTCTTTCACTTACACTTCTTTCCAAGTCCAATGGATCAACTGAAATATCTTGAATTCCCCTGGTGGTTCATTGAAGTTGCTTATTATGTGAGACAAGGAAGTAACTCTAGTGTTATGTTTAATATAGATTTATTAGTGAATCATCCATTATAAGTAGGCGGCCGATCGATCGGAGCATCCCTAATAAGTAGCATTAGCTTACAGGAACACTCAGCGACTCCTCTCCTCTTATAGTTGTCTAGAATAGGCATCTAGTCGTCAGTATCTGAAGCTGTAACACAAAGATTGATGCTGTGGTCAAAAGGAGATACTGACGCCTGCATGCGAGGTGTTTTTGTTCCGCTGAAGAAGCTGTTCAGAACACAGCGTAACTTAGAGGCCGAGACGCCAAGGCTTCCTGTGTGAGCGCTCTTCTTCCTTCATGTGTTCAGACTGGCAGTGAGGGAACTGCTGCAGATGTTTTCTCTTCGCACAAACATTGCCGTTGTAGCAATAACTGCCCTGTGAAGTTTAACGGAGTCCTAAGAGAACTTTTTTTTAACTGGAGAAGCATTTTGAAGTTATAGATCTCAGGTCTGAAAAAGGTTTGAATCTTTCAGGAGCTTTGCTGCTTCAGTGCAAGAAGATCTTTCTGATGTTGTGGCGCACACCTTTCTAACATAGTAGTGTTCGAATGTTGGCATTGCCTTGTAACCGTACTATCATTTCCCTAGCCCTCATTTAGCAAAATACACCTGAACTGTTATCATTATTATTTTCAGTTTTTCACAGACACATAGTAACCAGTCTGACAGAGGCTAATACCGTCTCCCTTTGCTCTCCTGTCCCCTCTGCAGCAACCTGAAGAAGTGTGAGGAGAGCGTGAGCCGGGTGCAGAAGGAGCTGGAGGACAACGACAAGTCCATGGCAGAGCTCACTGAGCAGCTGAAGAAGCTGGAGGACGAGGCGGGGGACGTGATGAAGGCCTGCCAGGAGGCCGAGGTTAGACCCCCTTATTCACTATTCCTGCTCCCAGAGACACTCAGGACATCATAAACATGGTCTCTTCTAACTGTAGGTTACAAAAGTGCCTTGTAAATTGAAAATTGAAGAAACTAAGTGAGTAAGGAATGAAGAGTACATTGAATAGTCCTTTCCATCAGAAGTCACAGTGATTAAATCCACAATCCCTATTACAGTTTGACATGAAGTGAAATGAGTAGTTCAAGGTGTTGCGGTCCTGATTTGAATGAGGGGAAACCTGATCATTCGGGACACTTTCTGGAATAAATAATAGTATTTATTTGAAAGTGATATTGTTTATTGCCCTGCAGGCGGTGCTCCCCGAGGTGCAGGAGCAGTACCAGGCGGTGGTGAAGGAGATCAAGGTGCTGCAGCAGCAGGAGCACGCCATGCAGCAGGAGTCTCTGAGCGTGCGGCTGCAAATCGAGCAGATCGACACCACCATCACCGAGCAGAACAACAAGATCAAGCACTGGCAGAAAGAGGTGGGGGGGGGGTCATTGTGATTATAACTTCATACTCAGAGTGAGAGCTGAGCCCTGCCATGTTACTGAGAATTGGTCCAATGGGGGGGGGGGGGTTTAAACAACCAATAAGGGGCTCTGCTTTTATATTGCAATGTGAGCATTGTTATACTCCTAATATGCCCACAATGAATGGTAAACATTTTGAAGTTCCTCATATCTTTTAGTTTTTTCTAAAATGAAGGGCGGATTTAGGTATTAGCTTATTTATTGTCTGGTTGGAAGAAATATTTTGTGTGTTGAATTTTAATCTTGGATATCATTTTCCAGGCCACCAAGCTGTCCCTTCATACGGTGGAGGGCCAGCCCGCAGAGGAGCTTCCTGTTCTCACCTCGGCTCAACTGGAAGAAATCCCCAATCCCAGCGTCATCATCAACAAGATGTTCCCCTTGGAGACCAAGTGTGCTCAAATAAAGCCGAACCTCGGGGCCATCGCGGAGTACAAGAAGAAGGTATGCAAACATTTGAACATTAACAACAGACATCCTGTTGTCTAACCCCAGCAGAGGTTCACATGTGCTCATAATAAACCCAACAACTACATTTGAATTGTGAATGAAAGTCATTTATTGACTTTATTGTTCTTAACTTCCAAAGTTCAGGTGAGTTGTGGTGATGTTTCTGAAGTCCTGTTCAGAGATGTATTGACAAAGGAAACGGTGTGCCTGTGTTCAGGAGGATCTGTACCTGCAGCGCGTGGCTCAGCTGGACCAGATCACCACGGAGAGGGACCGCTTCAAACACGGCTACGAGGACCTGAGGAAACAGCGCCTCAACGAGTTCATGACCGGGTTCAACATCATCACCAACAAGCTGAAGGAGAACTACCAGATGCTCACACTGGGTGGCGACGCAGAGCTGGAGCTCGTCGACAGCTTGGACCCCTTCTCTGAGGGGATCATGTTCAGGTGGGAGGACAGATGCACTGACGGAAGACCAAAGACACCTTTTGGTTATTACCTTTCTGTACATCGATTCTGACCTTCTGTTTGAGCTGTGGTGTTCTGTCTCTCCGTCCAGTGTGCGTCCTCCAAAGAAGAGCTGGAAGAAGATCTTTAACCTGTCAGGAGGAGAGAAGACCCTCAGCTCGTTGGCGCTGGTGTTCGCTCTGCACCACTACAAACCCACCCCCCTCTACTTCATGGACGAGATCGATGCTGCGCTCGATTTCAAGAACGTCTCCATCGTGGCCTGTTACATTTATGTGAGTATGGATGTGTGTTAGGAGATAAAAGTACATTTTTAGTAGGGATGTAGTGGATTAGCAAGTCGGGATGCACTTCCGTAGTTCAGTGATGCTTCAACAATGAAACATGTTAGCCAGCTCATTCAGAACTGTGGAGCTAATCTCTGCGGTGGTGTCCCCCTGGTTTGATGGAGGTCAGAGAAAAGTGCCTGCTTTTAGGAGCGCAAACACAATTCACCACGAGGCAGTTAACTATCGGACTCTAAGAAGTCCTATTCACTTCCTGCTTCAGTGTACGATCTGACGGAACCTCTGCAGCAGTTGTATGCTCTAAAGCAGTCTCAATCTCTCTATATCAATACTTTTTCTCTTTTCTGTCGTGTCCGTGCAGGAGCAAACAAAGAACGCTCAGTTCATCATCATCTCGCTGAGGAACAACATGTTCGAGATCGCTGACCGTCTCATCGGCATCTACAAAACTCACAACACCACCAAGAGCGTGGGAATCAACCCCAAGACCATCGTGTTCAAAGAGCACGACGCAGTCACGGCCTAACCCTCACGCTTATTCTCCCTGTTTTACTTTCCTTCTTCCACACCATGTACATATTACATCTTTTTAACCTTACAAAATGCTGCTATTCTTTTTACTATTTTTTACTCTGAACCAATAAATGTTTCCCAATCGCAGACACTTATTGTGCATAAACATGACTTAGTGGGTATATTTTGACCAAGTTGTATTCTAAGTGTCTTTTAACCCTTCTGTTCACTCAATGAACTGATAAACCATGAAAGAATGTGTAAATTGTACACAATAGTTTTTTGTGATGAAAATGTAATAAAATCTTTTGACTTGCTGTATATTTCTAAAATATTGTCACCTTAAATACTCTAATGAAACAAACTGTCGACTTTATAATTTTAAACCTTTTTAAATATAATCTGACCAGCAGTCATGATTTGTCTGAGGTCATGTGATGGTTGGATGCCACAGATAGATTTCACATGACAGACAGATGTAGCAAGCGGCTGTTAATTGTGCTCACGACATCACTTTGAGACATACTGCAACACTCATTGACTTCTACCCCATCTTACACTGGCACATGGACAGATGTAGAAAAAGATAAATACTACACAAAACAATATACATATTCAAACTTTTATTATAACTTACATAATACAGTAACCAAAAAGTTATACAAATACAGGTTGGGGTGACATTTGTGGAAAACGCCTGACATTAACCAAAATGTCTTTGAGTGTGTGTGTGATGCTTGTAACAGCATACCGTTGTGATATAATTTTAACAATACATGAGATTATAATATTTAGGAATGCAGCTTGGCATACTGGCTCACTGGTGTTTCAGTGAGGGTCTGCCTGAGCAAAAAAACGTAACAATTATTTGATGCAAAATTGCAACGGTAAAGCTTTTATAAAGGCTATAATACAATTTATATATTTGCCCACCGCTGGAGTAAAAAAAGAGGGTTGAGCTTTTGGTCCTGGTGAAACTACAAGCCAGTACAAAAAGGCGATTAAGTTGGGCGAGATAAGAGCGTGATGGTTAAAGGCACTCTGAGTCGTGTGTGTTCACCATCAGCTCTAAAGTCCACACACAGCTGCGTCCCTGTGAGGATATACAGGAGCAGCTGTTCTGAGGTCAGCAGCTCTGACACCAGGAGAGCTGCTGAAATGCCCCGATATTTACATTCCTTTATGCCAAGCTTCAAAACTGTTTGATTAGTGTTGGGTATGATAAATGCTTAATTGCGAGGCAGTGTGAACCATACCTAGAAAAACACACCCCAAAGAGGAACATAACACTTGACAGTTACACAATTCAATACATACAAATATTTAACGTAAACTGCTCACATTTTGAACTTGCAAGAACTTGAACATAAATACCCGAGACGTAACTCGGGTTTTTCCCCAGGTCTGCATAAGAGGGAACAGGGAATCTTGAAGGGGACTAAAGCTTGATAAGGTCATGTGATATATTTCAGTGAATGAGTTATATTCAATGATTATTTCTGTAGTATCAATTATCCCTGCCTTGTGTTTATTCATTTACTCATTGCCTTTATCGGGACAAAAGCAGATGGCAGAAGGTTTTTCAGTTGGATTTTACCCGCTGTACTACAGGAGTGCTTCAGTGAGACTCGGTGTGTGTCAGTGTGATGTCAGAGTCCAGAAGAAGGCGGCCAGCTGCTCGAAGGCCTTCTCTCCCACAGAGGAGAAATGAGCGCTCCATCTCGCCACAGCAGCCTCTATCACCGTGAACCCTGACCCCGCCGAGTCCCACACAGATGTGATGACATCACCGCTCAGACCTTGGACCAACTGACTGAACTGGGAGAGAAGAGAGAAACTGAGCGAGGGCCCCCACAGCGCTGCCAGCAGCAGCAGCAGCGGCAGCAGCACCACAGAAGAAGTCGACTGCAGCGCACGCCACAAGTTCTCCCCGTGGAGCTGATCCCCCCCAGCCTCAGATTCCACGCCGGCCTCCACGCCGCCACATCTGGTGCAGCAGCACACCTTGGGGACGGGGGCTTCCTCCAGGCTGCCGATAGTCACGGCGGGCCAGTTCTGCTGGAGGTGCTCCGCTGCCCTCGGGGTGACGGAGAGGTTTATCGCCGAGGGCAAAGGCGTTTTGATGAACTCCTCCACCCTCTCTCTGAACAGATGCACCTGCTCCAGGAACACCAGCGGGTTAGGCTCCTCCTCCACCGAGGAGCCCATTGACACCAGGTCCAGCTGTTCCTCCTGCAGGGATAAGGCGGTTAGCGGTACTTTTCAACATGTGCTCGTTCCTGCTTCCTTTGGGCCGTGATCAATCAGGGAGAATGTGAAATTGGGGCAGCCTTTTTTCACGACAACTCGCCCAGATCAATATTTAAGTTTATACATAGTGATGTTGTCAACACCCAAGTGGAAATTATGACACATAACCCTAGGTTTCTCTGACATATCTGCAATGGCATTAAATCATTTTTGAGGCGCTTGAAGCTAAACCAGCAAAATCCGTCACTGGAAACAGCTTAATCCAGATACAATGGATAGCGGCAGTTAGTCCTGAGACTCACCTGCAGCTCCTTCACTTTGAGGATGAGCGGGTCGTAGGCGCGCGACACCTCTGCAGCGGCTGTATCCAGCGCCTCTAGGTAGGCCTGCCTCTTCCTGGCCAGCACCACCTCCAGGGTCTGAAAATACTCGTTGACCTCCTGGCGGTCCTGCCTCACCAGAGCCTCGCAGCGGGCCTTCTCCTGCTCCAGCTGCTCCCCCAGCTCACACACCTGACAGAGGAGGAACAGAAAGGATTTTTACTCCTACATGCATTTACATTGAGTTTAGTGAAACAGATTTCCACAGTCCGTACTTAGAGGATTCCCCACCTGCGCCCATCTCTGCTCAGAGAGTTTGGCTAGCAGGAGAGAAGGCGTCTGTTTTTCTCTGATGAACGCCGCCTGCAGGTCGTCTATGGGATGGCCCTGGTGCTGCCCGATGGTCAGACACAGACCACAGATCAGCTGCCGGTCCTGGATGCAGTACATGTTCAGAGGCTGCCTGAGGTGCTGCTCACAGGAAGGGTGTCGCGGCGAGCTGTCACTCTGGTACTGAAACAGCAGATGAGCAAACACGTAAGTCAAACTGAAGCAGCAAAGTTTAGAAACCATTAAGAGGATTTCATTCGTAAAGGTCGCCAAAGGGTAAAAGTTGTGTTCTTTCCTACTTTTTCAATGATGGCGCGCAGTGATACATTGGTGGGCAGAGCTTCTACACCCATCGGAGGCAGCTCCACCACGCCGCGGCAATTGGGGCATTTTAGTGGGACTCGGAGCGGCCTCCAGACGGAATAGTTGGTGGACACCTGGAGCAAGTTTTCCAGGCAGCTCTTACAGAAGGTGTGTGAGCAGGGCAGGACCCGGGGGTCCGAGAACAGAGAGTAGCACACGGAGCACGTCAGGTCCTCCTCCAGGTTGTCCATGGTGGAGACTAGAGGCCGGGCTCAGGGGGAAGGTAAGGGGGGTGGAGAAGATCTGGCAGCCAGGACAGCAGGACGGAGGAAAAGCTACGGGCCGCACCTGTTTAGCAAAACACATTTTGTTTCTATATCAGTAGAATTCGAAAAATGGGACAGAATGTGATTGAGTTTAGGGAGTTAAACCTAAAATGAAACTATTTTGATCATCAAATATTGTTGTGTTTTATTTTCCAAACACTGGTTGAAAGTTTCAGCTTCCTAAATGTGTCAGGATTCGATGTTTCTTTCGGTTTTGGACTGTAAACGGGATTTAACAGGATATTCGAAGAGAAGACCATTCAACAGATTAATTAGTTATAAAAAATTATCTTTAGTAGTTCACTGCACTCAGCTACTGTATTTTCATGATTGTAAAAAGCCCTTTTTCATCACAGTCTCCAGTACTACATTCTGTGACTGAGTGCACTACTGAGTTATAGACTCAAGAGTGCAACTTTGTTCATCTGTAACAATCAAATACAACAGCTATGCCATCAATTCGACAAACATTACCACAATGTTCAGTTTTAAAGTGTTTACATTGGTTTATTACTAATCAGTGACCACTGCCTATATTTCAAACAAATCTCATAAGACTAATAAAAGAGACAGTAAGGAATGCCTTAGACAGAAAAACAGCAACAAGGTCGCTATTCGTGTGTTCCTCTCGTTACAGCTGGCACCACAGTGACAATAGGAGGCCCTCTGCCAGCACACACCCAGTTCCCCCCCCCCCCCACCACACACACACACACAGTTCAGTTGTGTAACTGACCCCACAAACCTGATCCATATTTAGAGTAATTCTGCAGCCGTGTGAGCAACCAGGTGCAAACTTGCAACAGGTGTCCTGTTGCAGCCCGATCACCAATATATATATATATTAGTTAAATGTGCCATATTACAACATGTAATGAGTGCATTAAAAAGTTGCTTTATCTTTTCACTCTCGAATCTGTATGGTAAACTATTTCGCGAAGTTAATCGGACATGTGAAGTTTGCATAGTTAACCAACCGCATCGTTTTCTTTCACAGGAAAAGAAGCACATGATAACGGCATATGTGGGTTCATAAAGCATCAAATGAAAACAGACCATGTATCCGCATAATTGATTTGGTTTAGATTAACATTTCCTAAACTACATCAACTTCGCCCTCAAATGCTAATGGCTTCGTAAGCCAAATTTAAGTTATTTCGATTACCTTCTCAGCGACCTGTCAACCATTTGTTTTCATCATGTAATGGATTTAGGGTTGGTGACACAAGGTAGACAGTTTTAAGAAGATGTTGAGCGTTAAATCTTAACTCACCGTCTGCTCGTGCTCAGAGCAAAGGGTCTGTCCAAAATAAAGCTCTCATTTCCTGTTCCTTCTCATGATGCCTTCAAGCGCGTATGTACAAATCTTGTTATTAAATGTTTGTTTCCAGACGTTGCTTTAAATCGGCTCTTCTTTCCAAAAATAAAATAATGTTACGCATATATATTTCACTCTTGTAATGTCTTGGCTAGTTCCCTAGTACTGCAAGTTTGAAATGAACCATGGCACATGTTCTTCATATGGATGTAACAACTCCGCCCGTCATAACTGCGACCTTTCCGGCAGTCCTGAAGGCATCATTTGTTTTGTTTCTTTTAGTACGCATGCGTTGAAACGGTCTTCCTGGCCAATCAGGGCCCGCTTTTCCTCGATTTGAATTTCAAGCAACATCAGCATTTCAAAATAGTGTAAAAACAGTGATTATTCACACATCTTCACAACAGACCACACACACACACAGTCTCTCGATTTGGGTTTCACTATTTATTTTCTTGAAGACAACCTATCCTGTAGCCTATCTCCCAAAAAGGTTTTTGGGCAAACCACCTTTTTATACCTTCCATATCATAAATTCAGATTTGAAACCACATGTTTGCTAACAAGGAATGCTGCAAAAAAAAAAGACCCCTATGTTCAACAGAAGGTTTATGAGCACAATGTGTAATCATTTACTACAGTGTTTGAAGTTAACACAAAAAATGGAAAGGGTAAGCTTGTACACCTAGCTGGTATAAGAGGGAAGAGTAGTATGGGGCTAATGACTCTGCAAGGTACTAAAAAGGTACAGCAAACTTGTTCATGGGTTATTTATTACTCAGGAGAACCCACTTTGGACAACTCCAGTCTGACGTGTGGGACACCTTTTGACCTTGAGAAAAAGGAGGCTAAATCCTCTCTTTGTCTAGCTGAGATACATTAGCAGATCCTTTCCTGCTGCTCCTGAAATAAAGTCCTTATTTTTTTCTCAAGTATCACTAAAAAGCATCATTGGATTACTCTAGAAAGACAACAGATTGTGGTTGAGTGATGCATATTGTAGGATGTTGTTGGCAGGTCAAAACCTATGAAACCCACCAACATGCCTTCAGGCCTCACTTTGCAGTACATGTGCAAAACCATAGATTATTTAGCAAATCGGACACTAGTGAGGGATAAGGGAAAGGGAAACATGTAACATTTAAGCACAGTTTTACTTAAAATAAAAATTACACTGTATCCACAGCCTAAGGAAACTAAAATACCCTAAAAAATAACTGTGCTATAGTTTAGTACATGCAAAGGTTATGATTCACAATCCTACGTGAAATGGCCATTGTTCTCTTCTCCCTTTGTGATAAGTCAAAGCTATGGCAACGATACTGCAAAGCAGTGGTTTTGCTGTAGATTGAGGGGAGAATAATGAGGTGACAGGGGAACAGGTCGTTTGATTATAGTGATGGTGTCAGTTTCACAGCATCAAGCCCATGTCTGGTGCCTAGGTTAGGGTTCAGGTGTGAGGGTGGATTACCATCGTCGTCAATTACCTTTACAGAAGCAATGAAACTAAAAGCTGAAAATAAAAAATATCATAAAAAGGAACACACTGGAGGCAAAAAGAAAAAGCCCAAAAGCCACCAAATGCATCTTAATACAATGCACTGCTGCTCCACACCTGCCAATAGCATTGTCCAGTGTCAATTAATACTAACTTAACAATAATTCAAAACAGAAAAAGAATCCTTGTGATGACGATGATTTTTTTTTTTCATTTCCAAAGTTCTTCCTTTCAGGGTTTTGTGGATCAGCCTCTCTTTCAAAGGCAGAATTTCTTTTCCTGAAACCTTTGCTAACTTCATTGTTGCAATTTTGTTTCTCTTCAGATGTTGTAATTGAATTTCTCTGCATGCGCTCTCACCCAGTCTTGCATACTCCCAGTCACGCACGCAGCCAAGCACACAACTCATCCGTCCATTCTCTCGCACATGCGACACGCGCAGCCGGACTCCTGGCCCCGCCCACCAGAGGGAGAGGATGGTGCCCTGTCGGGGCGTTTCATTGGAGGAGATGAACCTGGCTCCTCAGCACTGAGTCCAGACATTCATACACAATGGGTCCATTCACACACATGTCTGATAGCGTGGCCGATTGGGGGAGGGGCACGTTGAGGGTGGCACCCTCTCTTTTCGGAGGACCGTAGAATTGTGATGGTTCGTGGTTCATCTCAGTTCAAAATTAGTTATTTTCGGTTGTATCGTAATATGTCAAGATCTCTTGATTTGTTATTTTTGGATGTCCTTGGTTCTCCCCGGGCAGACATCAAGTTTTTTTGTTGTCGTTTGAAGTAGTTTTCCGAAGGCGACAGCTCCAATAACACAGAAGTTATGTCGGCATGTCTCTCAACGCATTCGATGTAGATGTTTTGCTTTTTTTGCAACATGTAGCCACTCATTCTCACTCGCACCCACTCGCCATCTCAACCTTCATTTGGGCTGGTTCCCCTGGAAGGCCAAATGAAATCCACACATTTTTCTCTCAGATAAGATGCAGCCATGGATCCCACGAGCCAAGCACAATGGATCAAATTTCTCACACTCGCTCTCTTTCGCTCTTTCTCTCCTAATTTTTTTATGTTGAACAGAGTGCTGCATCGTGAACAAAACTCCAGAATACCCCAGATGCCGTCTAGAACTGGAATCCCTCGGCTGGCACGTTGGCAGAGTTGAAGCCGTAAGTTCCACCTTGGATGGCTTCTGGGACCAGGCTGGTGTCTTCATCAATCTGAAGGGTTTGAGAGAGAGCGTTAACAAGGTGCAGCAGACATGACAGTAGTTTAAACACTAATGGTGCCGCTACAGCATAAGATTGACCAAAAGCAAACTCTAACTTGTGAGTCATTATTAGATCTTCACTGTTTATCTTCAACACGTTTGTCAATCAACTTAAATGTGGTGGAACCTTTTCTTTTTACATTCAAATATAAAATGTGATAGTCTAAGGCTTCAACTTTACTTCATAGCAAATCTATTGATAACCAACACTGGATTGATACTTTGAACTTTAGTGAAATCATCTTTGACACTGGATTCACTTACATCATCAGAAGAGAAGAATTGATCAATAATTTCGTATGCCAATTTGTAGATATCTTCATTTTCGTGATTCTGCAGTTGCTCTACTTTTTCCAAACCTGAGGAACCAAAGAAAACAACAAGTCAGACACCACACAATCACGCATGAAACCTAATGTTAAGAAACACACAGATAATAATCAAACATTGATGGGACTTACCGCCGCATTCCTCAATAAGGTTAGCAATGGTTTCAGCCTCATCGTCTGCCATCTTGAGGATGTTGCTGAGGCCGTCGAGGACGACCTGCACCACCTGAGCGTCCTTCACCACCAGCAGGTTGCAGAACGGAGGGATCACCTGCTTCTCGATCAGGTGCGCCACCTGCAGACAGAAGAGGAGCGGTGAGGAACATCAACATGGTATTCACTTTCATACTTTCTACTTTTACTAGTCATTTTGAAAAATGCCAATGACTGGTTTCAAAACAACATTTCACATGTCTGTTGTCAAAAGGAATAATTTCACAAACTAAACGAAATTGAGAGAACATCTTTTTTAACTTCTCCCTTTACTCAAACACACTTCAGCCTCTTTTGAATTATAAAAAATCCATTTGTGAAAGCTTTAGGAAATGTTTAGTTTGTTTTATTATAACTAAATTGTTCATGTGTTAGTTCTAACTCTGTGCTTATGTATTCTGCTTTATTCACATTTTATCTGGATTGTTTGTTTTATTTTCTTCTGTAAAAGTACTTTTTAAAATAAAAATCTAACCCCAAGGACAGAGCTACATAAATCAAGTGTATTCATATTCCCACAGTTTTTCATGACTACATCTCATTCCTTTAAAACTTGAATTGTTTAGAAGATTCTTACCTGATCTTTCCTGCCACTTATTGTCAAGTTGCTGATGGCCCAGGCTGCTTCCTTCTGAGTGCCAAAGTCACCCTAAAAACAAAAATACATTAATAACACATATTTCCCCCACAAGCTCATTAAACAGAACCCTTCACGATCCTCTTGCTCTTTGCACAGCTTCTAAAGACAGACGGACACACACCTTGTCGAGCAGGTGGATGATCATGGGGACGAGCTTGGCGTCGATGACAGCCTGCACCTGCTGCTGGTTGCCGGCTGTGATGTTGGACAGGAACCACACTGCCTCCTACAGGACAAACAACACAAATACATTGTTAAGGAAATAGAAACATAGACGGGTTTTATCCTAACCAGAGAAGCCAGAAGATTATAATCGTGTCAAACCTTTAACTAGAGGAGGAACCTGACTGCATGGGGCCATGATTAGCAGCCAAAAGGATAGAATAGCACTCCCTCTTTTTAAAGACTTATGAGTTTGTGTTTAAACTGGATCAGAATCCAGAGGTCCGCGCTGAGGGGTGGGACCTCTGGGCGAGACAGAGTGCTGTGGGCGGGGCGAAGGCGTTTCTTGAGGCTCTAATCATCGTCCAGGTCACAGTGGGCCTCTGTTTTAAAGTGACTGGTCTCAGATGCACTCCGATATCAGCAGAGACTCGTGGTCTTCAGCACCCTCTGGCCACCAACCCAAGGAATCACTCATTCAATCACATCCACACCAACAACCCTTCCCCCAACCCCCCCGATCTGACTGACTAACTTCAACTGAGGTCTTCTTCTTCATCCTGGAGGTTCTTCATGTTGCGAATCCCTACGAATGACTATCTGCCCCATCTATGACTTTCACACAGCATTCACACAAGCACCAAGTCTCTGATTTCATCACGTCCAGGCAGACAACACCTGCCAGGGGGGGCATGTATATGTGCAGGAGGAGGAAGATGGAGGTAGTTTTACCTTGTTGATTTTCTCCTTCGGGTGTGTGAGGAGTGCGGGGAAGTGGCTGAGAGCGTCACAGTTGAGCACCACCTGGGTCTGTTCATCTGTGCCGGTCACTATGTTCCCCACGGCCCTCAGAGCAGCAGTCTGGGTGTGAAGAGGA